TTTGCGACGTCGGAAAAAGACGACATTGGTTTGCTGATTAGTATATATCTTACCTAAATTCCATTAATTGTATGAAAGGTCTCGGCTTCTATGTCTGAATTTAACACTCTTTAGACCAAACATAAAATGAATGATTTTACCAATTAAATAGTGTCCTGAATATATCAACAATTAGACGGTTTGACTGCGTATCTTATTGTGAGCAACACGCGCACCTGTTTGGCATCAATTTAACGTAAATGAAAAATAATATTTCACAACACCCAAATATTTTGCAGTTATGGCTACGTGTGCCAATTTCTTATGTAAATATTATTCAAACAATCAAAACTTTCAAAGAATAAAAACGCCTACCCTATATCCAGGTATAATATGGTATTGAACAAGGCTAAATGTATATACTGAAAATAGTTTGATGAAAAAATATCTGAACGATACGCAAAGTATACATCATAATACTGAAAGTGTAATCGGAAGGATAGGGCGATTGTGTTTACACTTGTTCAACCGACCTTCACCTCAAAGAAATTGTGTAACATGTACAACAATGTTGACGTATGACATCACTACCACCGACCGATTACTTATAAAATGGCGGCCACGCTGACAAGGGTACACAGGAGATTTTGCGAGGACCCTTCCCTTGATTCAGGGATCGTTTGTACATAAATATGAGATGTAAGTAATCAGAATGATTCTGACTATATGTGTATTGTTATATGTTTTATCGTTTTCATTGTAAGTAAGAGAAGAAGCCAGAAATGCTGATAAAAACCTTTGTCGTTCTGCGTCAGTCATGGCGTCACGCTGCACGGACACTTCGACAATTTCTTATGAAATATCAAATGATTGCATTGCTTCTTTTTAATTTCCCATTTCTTGCTACGATACTCTTTCCATGCATATTCTAAAGCTATTGAGCCATTGCAAGCAATGAATAGACGGCTGCATGTCGGAAAATTTCAGAAAATGCTACGTAGTATAAAATCGGAATTTTTCTTTCTTTACAAGCGCAGCCTTTCGAGCACAGCGTTCGTTTGGACTTTTGACACTCAATATCTTTCGTTTCATTTTATCCAAACAGTTGATATTGGTGACAAAGACCATTAGTAATTTGATTCTAAAATGTATGGGGAATTCAGTGATGCATTTGTCGCAGGTAAATGTGATATACACGTGATGTAATTGGCGTCTCATTACCGTCCTCCGCGAAACTTGATTTTGTAAACACTATCCAATATGACGGAAAGCGCACTTCGGCGTTCGTGTTTACAAGTGTATTTTCAGAATTATCATTAGTGATTTCATGAAAACCTGATATCAGTGATCATTAATATGCTATTTTTGAAATTCAATACATCTGAGTAGTAATTATCCGATTTGAACATTTGAAAACATACACCAAATAACGCTGTGAATCGTGATTTCGTAATGTGTCAAATATGGCGACATTTATGGTGAAGCCCATTTTGAAAGTCCATGTTATTTCTCCATCAGGATCCATCGGTAAAGTTGGGTTTTCTCGGTTTTCTTTGGCTTTCCATGATTACGGCTGCAAGGGATGTACCGCGAAGTTGTTTCGCGCCTTTTACCGGTGGTTTAAAAACGTTCGAAAATCTAAAAATAGCACACCGCGCCTTGACGTAAATCCGTTAAGCCGGGCGTAGTAACGCCTAGGCTTAACCGACGTTGTGCATGACGTGTAAGAGGAGGGCGCTGCTAAGCCCGACGTAGTGTGTTACGCCTGACGTTAGCTACGCCCGACATGTGCATACGGCCACTGGTGCTTAGGGATTATTTAACCTAAAACAATGCAAACGTTATATTTTAAAAAAACCCATTAATTGATTGTGACTTACAAGTCACATACATTGTGTCCGTGTTGCCTAAATACAACAGATATACTTTAGAGTTGTGCGTCGGCTGTCATGAAAATCATGAATAATTTTACTCGCACGTGCGTTTTACGCCAGCTTGTTTGAACGAATTGAATAGTCTCACTTTGGACAAGGCAGGATTTTGGTAACATTTTAGAATTCTATTACATCTGATTTAGTTTGAGGTGGAGAAATCTTCCAATATTCCGGAAGTAGAAGTAAGTCTGGGGCTCTTTGAATGTGTTTCCGGAATCCAAAGATTTCTCCATTACAGAGTTTAACAAAAGGTTTGAATTGTTAATTTGACCTAGTAACCAAACTTACTCACTCACTCACACATACACATACACAATATCTAACACTTGCAGCATCTGTGTTTCATGAGGGACGCAATTTCTCCAATCCGACTTCCATTATATTTTAACATAAAAATACCATCTTTGTGGTAATAGTCGGATCTTTAAGATCGTGTCTACTCTTACATTCTAAAATCAATTTCTAAAACACTTCTCGGAGCATTAGAAATGTGTACCTCCAGGAAGGCTTGTGGGATGCATGTGCAACGTGTTACAACATATCTGAGGATGGTGCCATAACCAATATGTCTTTGACGTCATCACTTACTGTCAGGTGCTACTAATTAGCCCTCGGATATTTCCGGAATAGATGTCAATGCCATATGTGGTTTATGCCCTGCCGTGCGTAACAAACCGGCTATAAATTGGTTTTGTGGAACAAGTCTTTGAAAACGAGTGGTTTTATTTAGCTAAATTTTAGTTTAATTACACAGTTGCTGAAGTTCTCTCATGTTTACAGATAAAAGAGGTCTATGGGCCTGATATTTCACCTGTGAAATATGTTGGCCTTTACTACTAACCTAAATCCTAGGCTTCTTTGAATACGTTCCTAAAATGTAAACTGTGTGTACAACATCCCGAGATCAAATGCAAATGAATATATCTGCATTTTATGTTACCCGACTGAACTAGGTAATTTACTGACTAAGCAGAAAGTTTTGGACCATTTTTAATATTCCCTAAGAAATTGAAATAATGTCTTCAAACTTTCACACAGCTTCACATGAATGATACCCTTGCTCCATGGCTGTACTGACGGCTGAACCCATGTATGAATAGTAATGAATAGTTATTCTATATCCTATAGAGGCAAGTCTAGATAAGCGGACAGTACATTAAGGACCTCAGTCAATTAGAGGGATATTCATATGTTTTAGAAATTATCATTTAAACTATTAATTATTACCTTATAGACTGGTGCAAGTCTCCATGAATGATAATAACTCTTTTGTCATGAGCTCAAATGTTGTATAGGTTCAATAGCCATTTGTTTGTCATATGAAACTGTATAATCTATTTCACGATATTATTTCAATATTTTCAGTTACATTAAAATTAGTTACACATAGTAAAAGCTTTTCATTGGGTCAACGTAGTTCGTATTTTTCGGGGTCATATTTGTTTCATTCAGATTCAAAAGTACAGAAGTGTGGGTGCAATGAATTGAAAAGGCCATTTTTTCAGACTTCAAGAAACCGTCTACGAACACGAAAACTACGAACTACGTGACCCCACAAGTTTAAACTGTCCGACATTTCCTACGAATATCAGCCGGCGTCAAAGACTTCCGTATGTTCAAATATTAGAAACACGTTACATTAACAGACTTTCATATAATTCTTTCATGAAGTTAAGTTTCACTTCTAGACTTGGGTACAATGTGTTGAAGCCCATTTCTGGTGCCCCCTCGTTGATATTGCTGCAATATTTCTAAAAGCGGCGTAAAACTATACTCAGTCACTCTAGACTTGGTGTTGTTGTCCAAATGTTTAATTATCATTTAAAAAATACCCCACTCACCCACCGAACTAGATTAGTACACGTGATCACAACAGAAGTTGGCTTTTTGCAAGTAACAGCAATGGCAGAAGACTCGAACCGTCCCAAGTTTCAAAGGTACAAGTGCAGGGTCAGAAGCGCAAGTCAACGACCTCCAAAATCACCGAAACAATTTCGTCATTAAAAACCAGAACAATTTCCAAATTCGTCCTATTTACAATCCACCTCCAAACTTGGAATTATCTCAGAACACCCTAATTGAAAGTAAATCGCCCAAGGAACCCGGAGTAGCGGAAAATCTGCAGTTTCCTCCTCCAGACAATTGTAGGTAGTAGTTAGACCGTCTTGAGGTCCTGGGTAGAGGAGTGTTATTAACGTCGCTATAGGCTCGTTCGTGAAGGACACAAAGAAACTGCCATTGTCCATATCCTCTGGAGTCTGAATGTCCCAATTACGCGCAATCGTGTAGTATTTGCAGACATGCATTGCTTCACTGCTCATCATAGCTTGCAGTAATGGGTCTCCGCAAGTGTAAATCTTAGCTTAGTCCGCCTCCCAAACGCTAGAGAATGTATTAAAATAGAGACCAACTCGAGTCTAGTACGATTCTGCAAGTCTAGCCTCAGAAACTAAGCTTTGTTCTGGACTCCATCGAGGGTTTGCTGCCATATTGTTTTGCTGAGTTCTTATTGTTGTGTTTGGTAATGAAGTTGTTTTTTGTTTGTTTGTTTTTATTTTGTTTTGGTTTCTCTTGGGTTTGTTTTTTTAGGTGAGGGTGATGTTTTTTCCTATATTTATGCAGCGATATTTTAGTCTTACCTTAGTTGTTTTGATATGAGGTGAAATTTGGTTTTAACGTCGTGCTTGAGAACATTTCGCTAATATGACGACGTGCATGCGTGTGTATGTGTATGTGCGGCTGCTTGAACTAGCCCAGACTTAAGCTGGTTTTATAGTGCTAGCCCACTGAAATACCATGCCGCAGTGAAGCATGAATACCCCACTTAGACACATTATACGGAGTCAGACCAGTGCTTGTTGTACCCATTAATGCCGAGCGCCAGGCAGGGACCAACAAGAACCATATTTTAACGTCTTTTGGTATGACGCGGTCGGGGATCGAACCCGCGACCTTCCGCTCTCCGGGCGGACGCTCTAACCACTACACCACGGAGTCGGTCAGTTTTGATATGAAGCAGTATGTAATGATCAAACATTACATCTCCAGATACATTGTAGTTCCTCATAACAAACTTGGACCAACGGTAGTCTTCGCTTTAGATAGCTATGAAGTGTAATGGGCCATCTTCGTGGTGTCCTGCGTCGTCATAATACCTGTCTGTTGGATACGACTGGGTATTGTCCTGAACTCATATTTTCAAAAAGTGGCCTAACGTTCTAGTTTCAAAAGCTTACGGTACATACATATCATCCATATTGTATTTTCAAACGTTTTGGGTATATACGTCATCCATTTTGTAAATGTATTTTCAAACGATTGCGATATGAGAATAAATTACGTTGCAGTTTCAATGGCGAACTGTGTAAGCATCTTTCGCGCCATAGTTTTATAGGCTTAGGATATATGCAGGTTTGCACAGACGAACAATGGCTGGTTGTTGCAAGTGCTCAAGTGTTACTGCGTGCAGAGGTCGAGCACACTGGACGACATCTTGAATAAAAAGAATAGCCATTAGGATCAGCAATTGAGATGTACAAATCTCCTGTAAGCACGAATGACCTGCTCTCAATGATGTTATCGCCCTGTTGGTCCAGGGCAAGTCTGACAGGGCATGTGTGTAGATACTGAGATGAGAGGCAGTATCACGCCCCGGAGCTGGGCACCCCCACAGAAACCCGACCCCCTGTTTGAGGGAAAGAGATCCTGGTCTGGTGTGAGTGCCTTGAAGAGGTCCACTGTGTACAGGCTCACTGACGTTCTGACGTTGATAGGATCTCCACGATGGGAAAGGGAAAGTGCTGTAGAGGTCGCCATCATCGCAGAATACATTCGTTTTACCTGTAAGATGGAAGCATAAGTGGCAAAACCATTTCCAAGTAGGCAGAGACAGCTATGAATAGCTTTTGTTGAGAGCAGGTGTCCACTTGGACGTACCCTAGGCTAACGCTTAGTCTCTGAAAAATACAATTGTGATAAAAACAAACTCTTTTCAAATCGAAAAGGAGCCCCAATTGAGCTTGGAGAACCACACTCACTCACTCACTCACACACACACACACACACTCACTCACTCACTCACTCACTCACTCACTCACTCACTCACTCACTCACTCACTCACTCACTCACTCACTCACTCACTCACTCACTCACTCACTCACCTGTTTCATAAGAAGATGGGGGCTACGGTTTGCCCAGTAGTCTCATATCCAACAGTCTTAGATGAGCCCTTTTCTGCGTACCAGAATCCGATCATGGATTCCATAGATTTGCGCTAATAGTGCTTTAGTTTGTCAGCATCTTGTACGTAGGTCTCACAAAATGGCAAAAATCTCATATCTGCATCACTTTCGGCTTTCCTTGAACACTCGCTATGATATATACCGAATACTGGTCAATCGGTTTTAAAATCACTCGCTGAATTTATTAGATTAACTCATGCAGTCTCGATTCCAGGATTGAGTAACTTTGTCACCAACACTGACCCAAGTACGCCATGCTTGCAGGTGACTGGGCGGACGCTGATACAGGTCTACATCCCAGGTTCAATACTCTGTGTGTGTCCCGACCCCCGGATTAATGTCTATATCAGGTTCTCTGTAGGGGGCACGACCCCAACATAATTGGACCCTCCCTGAAATTATAGTTTTACTATGTCCAACAAACACCCTAAAAGCTAAAAGTCAGATCGGAAACTAGTGAATATTTAATCCTGAGAGATTATGTGTTAATTCCCTTCACTCCTGCTCTGTAAACTGACCTTCCGGAACAAATAGAACTACAGCTTGTCTCTCTCGGACCTTCCCAAGCACGCAATGTAGCAAAACATAGTCTTATCTTGAACAGGAGACTCTTTATTCCCTAACTCGACACAGAGCGAAGGATCGTATTGAACAATGACTATTTGCTTAAAGAGTGAACATCTCGAATATGATAGGGATAAAATACGACTTCAAAAAGATTGCAAAACGCTAGTCTCTGAAAAATGTTGATAGAACACGCTTTGGGGTGAAATGTCAATTCTGTTTCAATACGAATTTTTAAACATTCACCGAAGTGTTTTGTGTATGTAAAATTGTGACGGAAAAGTCGACATGATATGTGTTATGTGATAGGCCACACAATGAGCAAGGTCGGCCGTGGCAGTTTGGGGGCGCTAGTATCTTTACATGGTCGTCTGCTCATTAATAAATTTGGCGCGAAAACGTTTCCAGTATCTTGTCATCTTGAATCAGGTGTTTTTTTAGTTATGGGAACCGTTAGATAAATTTAATCTGGATCAAGAACCTTTGATTACCACCTGCGTTATCAGGTGCCCATCCTTAACAAGTAACCATCCATGTCAGTGAGTAATCTCAACCGATGATTATCGATCTGGATTCCATAAATTTGTCACGTCGTCCTCATTTCAAAATTTGATATACTGTGAAACCGCTATGCCAAAATCGAAACCCCCGAAACATCCCAACCCTAAAACCCCCTCCCCTCACAAGGCCAACCTTGGACTTACCTGTACAATACAACCGTATCGGCTGAACATCTTGGACGCACCCATATTTGTTCTGTGTAGAAAGACACCGCCATTATCTCGCGTGCATTTATACCTGTAAGCACGGCCATGACACGGGTCCGTTATTCACTACACGCGCTGGGACATCTAAACGCCGAGGGGTCAGAATTCAACACCCGACTTCAAACCATTTGGAAAATTCGGCACGCATGTTGTAGAATATTTGATATCATTCACTGGCCATATTGTAGATAGAGTGAGGATTGATTTCCTCTACTTAAGTAGGTTTATAAAGTCAATGGTAGCGTGTGAAAGGCGTGAACATATGATAACACACAGAAGCAGAATGTCAGACGAGGTCATGCGCTCAGCTGCGACAGCCGTTTCAATTTTGAACATGATCTAAACAAACGGATATTAATAGAGGGGTATATAAGGGAGGGCATACCGTTGACGGACAATTGACTGGGCGCTGTCTTCGATTGTGCATTGGTCACACACTGTCACAAACTTAAGGAGTGTGCAAATACGATTTTGAGGAACTGACATCTTAACGCTGAACTGTATGCTGAACATAGGCCGACGACATGTGACTATATGTTCACTATACATGCTGACCGTACGTCAGTTGCAACCTCACGGCATAGCGAAGTCGTATTCCGAGTGAATGCTACCGTATTCCGAGTGTATCCCGGTGGTATTCCGAATGTATGCCGACCGTATTCCGAGTGTGTGACAACCGTATTTCGAATATATGCTTACTGTAGGTAAGTTACACACTGACGGCTTGGCGATTGTATGCCGGCGGTATATTCCGATAGGGTGCTACCGTATTCTGAGCGTATGCCGGCGTTATTCCGAATGTATGCCGACCGTATTCCGAATGTATGCCGACGGTATTCCGACTATATACTAGGGCTGCGCAATATAACCGGTTTACCGGTATTTACCGGTTCAGACATGAAAACGATACGTATTGCGATACGCTGATCGAAAACCGGTATTTTGACTTGCATTCGGAAAACTTCGTAACACTCGGAAATGTTCGGATATGTCCTTGTTTCATTTGTGCCAAATATTATTTACATTTATATTTTATCATGATTAAAAGTTGTTATTAGAGCTTAATCAAGCCTAGTGATTTTGTTGTGTATTTGCTCTATAAATCATGAAGTAACTCGATTATAAGTAGTGTTTGTTTATAAATACTTCATGCAATATATTGCAATACATATCGCAATACATGCTTTCGCATCGCAATATATCGCAATATGAAAAATCTCTGCAATACCCACCCCTACTATATACCGATTGTATGTTGCCGTATGCAAACTGTATGTCAACTGAATACTGATTTGATACTGACTATTAACTAACAATGCATAAAACTACAGTCGAACACCGTTGTATCGAAGTTAAAGGAAACCTTCGTAAACACTTCGAGTATTCCGAGGTTCAACGAAGCCGCAAAATGATGACTAATTCTACCCTGACTTCAGTAAATACTGGATTGTGATTGGTCAGTTAAAGTCATTCAGAGGGATATAATCACGTTATATACCTCTGATTTTCCAACACAGTATGTATTATTTTTAAAAAATCTTAATAACGCGGTTATGGTAGAATGGAGATAAACGTACTGTGTTGGAAAATCAGAGGTATATAACGAAAGTAGAATAGCTCTAATTATTTTATTTAAAACCTCACGCTACGCTATTTAGATCACTGTCATGGTTGGCGCAATAGGAAGCATCCTTCAAGATCCGGGTTAGAAATTTGTCTTCAGAAAGCCATGCTTGTCGTAAGAGAACGCCTGATCGTCGACTTGGCCGTATCCCAATGACGCAAACAGATGTTCATGTGTTAAGTCACTGGATTGTCCGGCCTAGTTTCGATTACATTAGAACGCCGTTGTGTCGAAGTTGAAGGAATCTACGTGAATACTTCGAGTTATCCGAGGTTCGACACAGTCGCGGAATGATGTTATTATCAAGTTTACAGGAATAACGTATCACGTGACATAACGCACTAATTGCCCCTACGTCTTTCGAGGTGGTATACGTTGAAACAGATTTTTATACACGTGCTGTGCGTAAACACGCCCAATTGCATTCAGAAATCCCTGGATTGTCTGGTCCAGACTCGATTATTTACACACCGCCGCCATATGGCCGTACAATTGCTGAGTGCAGCCTTAAACAACAAACAAAAACACCCATTGCACCACCCAACAGTGCGTTTGCTACACAACAAGAAAGCATTTGTACCACAGTGGTTCGAATCTCTGTTTGGACAATAATTTTTTAAAATAAAAATCTAGACTTTTGCAATCGTATATTGTTTTTATATGTTATGATTAACATATATTTCCAATTTGAACGAAATCAGTGAAGAAATAAATATTTTAGAAAGTTCTACCGCTACACTCATTACATAAAATACACTGCCCAAACAGTGATTCGAACCCCTACGATCTGTACATACAGTTCAGAAAGGTCAGAGAAATCAGTCAGTCAGTCAGACAGCAGGAACAATCACACATTGATCTGTCGCGAAAACAATATGTATTCGACTCTCCGGTATATTGAATCAGTCACACCTACCATTATACAGTTGACGGTTTACACGTTTTTGTAATGTAACGGATAGGTTTATGCCAGCGGATAAAGACAGCGCCGACTTGGGTCATTTACCGATAAATATGCAACTACAAAGAGGTACGGTACTTAGTGTTTACAAACACGGCGTCTTCGAAGCATGTTCTTACGTTATATTTCATGTGTGTGATCATGATCAAAATTATGGTTTGAGATATCTAAGCACAAGTCAGCGCTATCACTTATGACATAACATATTTTTTAGCAGGAAACCCGTTTGAGTGAGATGTTTGATTGCGTATTGTTTAACGCCATACTCAGCAATATTCCAGCTATACGGTCTGTAAATAATCGAGTCTGGACCAGACCTTCCAGTGGTCAACAGCATTAGCATCGAATTACGCAACGGGGAACCAAGTCAGCGAGCCCGACTACTCGATCCTGTTAGTCACCTCGACAATTCTAACCCGCATCTTCACGAGTATGGAGTGAGATGAGAATTCTTTTCCCGGAAAAGAAATCTTGAATGACATTTTATGAAAAAGAAGTTATAACGAACGTATTTAGGGATCCTAAATATCGTGTATAAGGAATAAAAATATGCTTAAAAACATTTCCGGGACAAGGGAGTAGTCTTGTGGTTAACGTGATCGCTCGTCTCGCAGAAGGCCTGAGTTCCCTTCCCATATGAATCCAATGTGTAAAGGCCAATGTATATTGCTGAAAAATTGCTAAATGGGCTTAAAAACAAACTCAGAAATTTTATGAACTAGGAGTAAGTACTGCGTTAATGTTCACGTACGAAGACGTGAAATGACGTGATGAATTGATCAGATGGCACTGCTCTGGAGGAATGAAACCCAACACCTGCATGACTTGAGTAGATTTTGTTATGTTGCAGGTGTACAATTACACACCCGTCTCTCACAGAGTTGTAATCTAACGGAGTACCATCAATTGGCCGTAAACTGCCAGATGACTCTTACTTGTTATTTGATGTTAATTTCATCTAACACGAACGTGATGACCGACGCTTGGGACGGGAAGACCTACACGGCAGGTGGAGGCTGGTAGGTTCTTGGTTGGTTGTCTAACGCCGAACTCAGCAATATTCCAGCTATATGGCGGCGGTCTGTAAATAATAAAGTCTGGACCAGACAATCCAGTGATCAACATCATGAGCATCGTTCTACACAATTGGGATACAATGACATGTGTCAGTCAGCGAGCCTGATCACCCGATCCCGTTAGTCGCGTCTTACGACAAGTAATTTTAACCCGGATTTTCAGGGGTCGGCGGGCGTAGGAGACGGGGAGACCGACTCGGGGTATTGGGTGGAGACGGAATGGACACCAGGGTGGAAGAACATCGGGGGCTGGTGAAGAGACGTGAAGACCAGCAAGGGGGCTGGTGAAGAGACGTGAAGACCAACAAGGGGGCTGGTGAAGAGACGTGAAGACAAATAAGGGGGCTGGTGAAGAGACGTGAAGACCAACACGAGGGCTGGTGAAG